TCCTTTGTTTACATCTGGGGTTTTAAACCAGATTTACGCAAGCAAACACCAGGCCAGGGCTAAGTAACGAGATGAGTCAGGCTGAGGTGTGGGAAACTGGTAGAAACCTGCAGGTTTCTGAGACCACGAAAGGCAGTGGGAAGCTGTTACATTTGCCTGCATCCTGTTTCTTGCACTCAGAGGAGACAGGCAAATGCTGATTCAGTGATACAACTCAGAAAAGGGCATTCCATGACTGATAGTCCCTCTGCACAGGCTGGGTAGCACTTTCCACTGCAGCATGGTACGATGTTGGAGCTGAAGGCACCTGTGGCCTGTGTGGTAGTATAGGCAGTGGAAGCATGCTCATATCATAACACCAGGCAGAATCAAACCTAGGACCGCTGGAGTTTAGTGCAGGAGCCTCTGCAGGTTGAGCTAAAAACCAGTGGGCTCCTAGTAAACTCTGTGGCCATGTCTACGCTAGGAGATTGTTTCCACTTTACTAAATTCGACTTCTGGGCACCTGATTTTACAAATTCGAAGTTCCATGTCCTGACTACAGGGAAGCACTGAAATCACCCCCAAGCAGGCCCCGTGAAGGTGGACGCACGACCTTGTGCACAGCCCTCAGGAAGCACTGGGGAGCTGCAGGAGGCCTGCCAGAGGCCAATTAGTGTGAATGAGCGGCACCGGAGTGTCCACACTAACGTTATTTTGGACGTACCACTTCAGGAATACCGTTGTTCCTTGCGAAAAGCAGGAGAACAGAGTTCGGATTCTGAAGCCTCTTATTCCGGAATAACAGGCCTGGTAGTGTGGACGCATCGCTTACCAATTTGACCTCGGGGGGCTCGTTTCAGACTAAGGTCTAGTGTAGACCAGGCCTGTAAGTGGTCTAGGTGGGACAGTACACTCACCCTGTCGGTGTGTGGATTACACTCAGACCATAGGAATGTGGCTGGTGAAAGGTGCCAGGCAAAAGTGAATCGAGTCCTAAATCCGTAATAGAGACAAGAACCGACTCCTAATTGCTCTGCTCCAGGCACTGACTTTTCTCCTTTCCATAGACAGGGCTGGCCTACAACATTTTGGCTCCTGAGGCGGGGAGCTCAAAGGACGCCCCCATACCCTTTCACTTGGGCCAAAACACTGAAAAGTCTCAATTCTCTGGGTCCTAGTGGTGCTCCCCCCCATGGTCTGGCACCTGAGGCGGCTGCCTCAGTTCGCCTCATGGTAAGGCCAGCCCTGTCCATAGAGCACGTGAAAGCCTTTTAGTTTACCAAGGGTTAGGTCAGGCCTGCTTGGCGTACACATGTCCGCTATTACATGATAAGCAATAGCTCTCGCCTTGTTAGCCAGGATGCTGGAATTACCCCAGGAGACCTTTAGCTTCCCCCAGGAATGAGCAAAGACGACCTCGGTGTAACATCTGTGTTGATGTGGGCCCCTTGATTTGAAACATCTGAGCTTCCTGCTCCGGGGCATGACCTGTGTGTTCTCCATGCAGCGCAAGGGGGTAAGAAGTGAGAACTCCACTGGGCACAGCAGCTGTTGGGAGCTGGCACCTGGCTTCTAACAGGGTTGTGGGGCAGCGATATCCGCCGCAGGAGAGATGCAGCTGCTAGAAATGAGATGAGCTCCTGCTTCCCATGAAGGAACCATAGATACTACGGTCACCCTGAGTGTGTAGTGAGTTACCATGGCAATAGCATGGCATCGCCACTAATCCGCAGTCCTTCTAGAGGACTTGGTTGTGATACTAGCTCTCAGAGAGAGAGCAAGGCCAGTTCAGATTTAAAAGCAAGAGAGCGACAATCAAATGAAATAAAATGTTTCCCAGATGCCCAGCACCGCCCCCAGATACAGCTGTGCTGCCGATTCAGTGAGCCACCGGTCACAAGATGTGCATTCCTGGCGCTGCCAGGTCCTGCCCCCCTTCACCGCTGAACACACGTGGTACTCCTTCCTCTGCTCCTGAGGCCACAACAGGCATCCACTTCCTGTGCCGCCTCACGGCCCCGCTAGTTCAGTCTGGCTGTGTTCCCAGCTAGTTCAGTCTTGCCATGGTAACTCACTACACACTCAGGGTGACCATAGTATCTATGGTTCCTTCATGGGAAGCAGGAGCTCGTCTCATTTCTAGCAGCACAAGGGAGGCAGGAAGCCCAGCAGTCAAAGGGTTAAAGAAATACAGTTCTCAATGCAGTTTTGGTCACCTTCTCCAGGCACGGAAACCCAAGGGATGGCTAACTGTGGTGAGAGCAGAATTGTAGGCTCCGTAATCCAGATGTGTGTGTGTGTGTGTGTGTGTATTTGTGCACCTACACACAGCCTGCTTCTTCACCCTCGCCCATTCCATGGCTCCACAAGCGGTCGAACAAGGACGTGCAGAATTTGCCTCCCCATTGTACAGGTTGTGTTGTGTAATAACAACTTTGTCGGGCCAGGAAATGGGGAGCC